ATTGCCCGTGTGTGTGGCTGTTGGCCCGCATTTGTCAAATAAGGAAATTAGTTTTATAAATTATCGCAACGGATAAATAAATCCGCTCCAACATTGTGAATAAACGGTCTAAATGCGGTCATTTCTGGTCTTGGCAGCGAATTTTGTTGCTTCTACTGCGGTTGAAGCCAAACCTACTTACCACACAATACACACTCCTACACACACACACACATACAACTAAACACTTGCTTTTAACACTAATTAGTCAATTAATGTATGTGCAATTTGCCAATTTGTCGATATCCCAATTAAAGTTAGTTCGCAGTTAGCCAATCTGCTGGCCTTCGCCAATATGCAGACACGCGCACACCCAGTGCGTATGATTAATATTTAATTGCATTATGCTTTTGCATGTAATATGCAGCAACCAGAGTGCTCTGATCTGTGTATGTGTGTGTGTGTAAATTGCAATCTAAATGGTCAAACGAAATTAAATTATAATTTATATATAGGTCCATACATATATGCATTTATATATATATATATATATTGTACATTGGCAGCACATGAAGTTCATCCGGTATATTCTTCCGCTCGAGTGCATCTGCAACTACAACAACATAAAGCAAACCCCGAAGCCCACAAGATTGGAATCAATAATGTCGCAATATCATGATTGCATTTCTAGCGGATGCTCGCTTTGTATTCAAGCTTGGTTTCTTTTCGAGTTTGTGTTTATCTAATTGACAGATAAGCAGCTAATAATCTAATAAATTACAAGTGCAACTGGTTCCTAATTGAAAATTGTGATAAGGATCTTAACCAAGTGACAATTGACTTTGCTTTCCAATTGCACTCAATGTGCTTCAAGGGATTTATTGCCGGATTTTCAATAACAAATGTTAATATAAAAGATTAAGATGCTTATGTAGTATTTGATTTATTAATACTTCTGTTGCGCGCAGTAAGTAAGTTGGAGTCAACTGTATCATATAGTTCTGTGCTCCCATTGGAAATGACTAAAAAATTTAGTTATTGTGTGCAGGAAACATCAAAAATATATCGTACTTTTACTACCTATTCGCAAGGGTATACATCAACATTTTGTTGGTTTTCTTTATTGCAACAGCAGATATGTGTATGCTCTTGCTGTGGGTAGTTCACTAATCAGAATCACTATACATATAAGTCTGTCAATACATAAATATAATTAAAAATATATAAATATAATTATAGCCGAGTCAATATATAAACATAATTATAGCTATAAAATTTGAAAAGGAACTGTGGAGTAAAGAAACACGGCCGTCTTCCTCAGTTGAAAACTAGCGGGCCGATTTGGAAAATAAGCTATCCGAACTAAACTCACTTAAATTTTGACAGGAAATTGTCAACATCGGGCTTCAAGTTAAGTGTCACCTCGTTAAGGATATTTAAATATCGGCGTGGCTAAGTTAGCCGCTAATCCTTGTTTTGGCACAGTTTTATTATTCATAGTTCCAACTCTATTTTTTTAGCTGCAAATAAAACTCATTGCCAACTATTGTTCTACTTTCGTCTGTGTTTTTTGGCAAATGTACATAAATTAGTTCCCATGCTTTATGTTTGTGTATTTAACAAAAACAACGTAAATTGCGAACATCTTTAAAGCTTTAAATAAATTGATTAAATTAACACATTTCTAAGCAGAGCTAAGCTAATGTAAATGTACATCGATTGCAAGTAGTAAACAACAAAACGGTCAACTAAGTTATAATATTAACAAAATAGTATTTGAAATTCTGTAATCGAATTGTGACTAGATGTGTTTTACAGATGCTGACGTATTTCAGTATTTCCTTGAATTTATTGCATCCGCTTTCCTTTGCGTATTCAAAAGTAATAATCATAACTTATAGTAACTCATTCACAGTTAATAAAACTGATTGAAAAATGCTGTAGATGTAAATCTGTAGCGCTGTGATTTATAGAACTTGAATCAAATAAAAGTTGTATTCAATTACACATATGTAGAGAGAGCGAGAGGGGGAGAGAGGAAGAGATATTGGGAAGCACGACCAGCTCCACTGGGAGCTAATCGGAAATCCAACGCTTGCCTTGTACATATTAATAAAAGTTTTTCCTATCTGCCTCCGGAAAAATTGAATGCGGAACACATTTGCCGGGCGGCAGAGGATTTCATAGCGATTGCTGAAAAGACACAGTTGCATAATGCACTATTCCAACAGTTATGGGGAGGAGGGAAGGAAGGAGGGGGTCGTTGCATGACAGAAAGGAGCAAAACGGAAATCGAAATGTAATTTGTTCGCTGCACAACACGATGATCAGCTCTAGTTGACAGCTGGCGGCCATGGAAAGCTGGGAGATGTGACAGAGACTGTGAAAGTGCAACAGCGATGGCAATGTTGACTGGTTTCTTGGTTGCTTGCCCCCACCTCGCCCATGTCTGTCTGTGGTGTGGCAAGCAGACAGTGAATGTGTCACGTACAAAGGCTGTAAGAAGGCCTTGAAGCTAAAGCTAACTCTCCCAACACCAACAGCAGGCAGAGTGCTCAAAATATAGCCAGAAGCACGACAAATCCACAATCAAGCTGCTGGCAGCTTGTAGGATGTGCTAGTAGTGTGGAAAGCGTGACACGAATATGCACGAATAAGCACGATACTAAAAATGTAGCTAATCAGAATTCAGACACACAATTCAAACGAACTTAAAGACTTTCCTGACGAAACTTTAATAAGTAATTATCTCTACGAATTACTTAAAAATATTCTTAATTCTAATTAACTATTCAACAACTAGATTGAGGCCTGTAAAACTATTGCTATTGGCATGTTTCTAATCAGCACGTCACAATTGAAAATAATTAAACTCTTTTAACATAAATTTAAATACATAAAATTCAAATAAGCTTCCATCTCTAACTGCAAGCGGGATTTAGCTTTAACTTACGGTCAAGAGTTTTTGGTTGTTTTTAAATTTGCTTACATCTTCCGGCCAAAAGTTAGCTGAAATTATGTCACACAAAAAACAAGCTAAACACTTTATTTATTTGCTGCTGCTTGTTGTTATTTCTCAAAGTTTTCGCATTAAAGCGCAAGCAGAGTTGCCAACTATTGCAATGAAAATTACATAGGAAGAAGCAGAGCAACAAGAAATGCAGTGTAAACAACAATAAGAAAGAGAGAGAGAGAGAGAGAGAGAGAGCAAGAGAGGGTGAGACTTCCATTCGTCCGGTTTCAAGTGTGAAATACTCTGTTGTTAGAGTAAAATCTGAGATTGTGAGAGATTTGACTAGAGCAAACAGAAATTAACGCTTTTAAAATAAGTTCAAAATGCATATTTAAGATAAGACAGGAACATTTTATATACATTGTTTATATATTATGTATCTTTCTATAATTTAAGTATACCTTTCTCATATAAGCCAGGAAATCTTTTACATATTATATACATTTTATTTTCTTTACAGCTTTTTTTATTTTCTTTTCATTTTGGAATAATAATCACTGCTGAAAGCGAACAATTCCAATTTTTTGCATTTCAATCAAGTCAAATTGCAAGTGGAGTATTAAAATAGCCAAAAAGTAGGAGACAGTTGGCCAGGTGCCGTACAAATTAAATACCGTCTTTGAAGTGAAAGTCTGGGACTCTAGCAAAGTCTATTTTAAACACATTGAAAATGTTGCTGACTGTGCAAAATGTGTGTTCTTTTTTTATGTGTGTGTTTTGTGCGTGTGGTGCTTGTTGAAATGCTGCCAAAAGCAGGCACCGTCTGGACTCCTTGCCATCTGCCCAGGCTATTTCAGTAGACGCTGCCTTAGATCTTGAGAAGGCCTCAAGTTCGTTTAGATTGACTTTGGCCTTGAATAACTCAGGCAGAAATGGATCAAAAGTCAGTCACAAACAAACACAGAAGATTGAAGGGCGTCGCGGAAGGCGGAACTACATTCATTGGACTGAGGCTGGAGAGGGGGTCGGGGTCGGCGTCGGCGTTGGGTCAGTCGCTGGTAGCATATTTTTATTGGTCATTAGTGCGAGCCTCTATCGAGCATTCGTAAGCATTTACACATCGTTAAACTTTCATTTCCGGCAAATTAAGCGCATTCTATGTACCTTCTGTCCCTTAAAAACACGCACACACAAACACATACACACGAGTACACACAAATAGAAGAGGGACATTGGGCGTCCCAAGCACAGTGTTGTCAATTTCGCTTTTTCTTAGCCCTCTTTGTTGTTTCTAATTAGAAGGGAAATTTTTAAAACAACAATATTTATGTATAACAACAAATTTTATATAATAATTGTGTTGACTTCTGTGTTAAAAATATTTCTTCAAACGAAATTAATTTTATCATGTAGAAAATGCATATTTTTTATATTTACTATTTTAAAACAATTATTATCGTTATATTTGTCATAGTTGGAATCAAAAACTTACCAATGACGATCCAGTTAAGCAAAGAGTTTACCGAGAAACCATTATGTCAGTTACTGACAGAGATATTAAAGTTTAAGCTTCGGAAAATTTCATTTTTGATCTTTTCTGATGATACGTGTGCTTAGTTATATTCTAGCTATTCTTTCAGTATCTCAATTAACTGTATTTAAAACTAGCTTTTTTCTTGACAACACTGATTGGGACAGAGATGGCGTAACAATATTTCCGCCATTGTCCTTACTTTGGCCTGTTCTTTGTCAGCAAAAAGTTTGCTGAGCAGGAGGAAGGGTTTACCTTTTTAGGGGGCGCGGCAAATGACCACAACAAACCGAGCAAGGACGAGCATTGGAGGGCCGAGCAGGGCAGGGCAGTGCAGAGGCTCATGCTATGCTCCTGGGCAATATTTAATGGGCAAGCCAAGCAAATAGAGGCACGCCCCAAAGGCGGCATTCGCACTTTTGTTTACTTTTCAATCAAAAGTCAATAGCAGAAGGTGACCATATAAAAGGCCCCAAGCAACATGAACGCATCGGTTATTCCTTTGGAAGACCAGTGCGAGCTCGTGTTGTGTGTGCCATGTCCTTCTGGGCGGTTAGTCGCGGCCAAACGCCTCCGGGAAAAGTGGCGCCCATGTTAAATCCAAATCAACGCCAATTTCTTGAGGATGAGATACGCTATCGTGAGAAACTCAAGATGCAGGAAGGTGGCATGTCGAATGTTTACGTACGCAAACTGGAAACAGTGGATGATCCGGACGAGCTGGACAAACACGATTCGTTCTATCAGACGACGAAAAGTCTATTGGTGCTGTTTCAAATTATGGGCGTTATGCCTATACATCGCAATCCGAAGGATAAGAATCTGCCGCGCACTGGCTACTCATGGACCTCCAAGCAAGTCATGTGGGCCATATTCATTTACAGTTGCCAGACGACAATTGTGGTAATGGTATTGCGGGAGCGTGTGAAGAAGTTCATCACCAGTCCGGATAAACGTTTCGATGAAGCCATTTATAATGTGATCTTTATCAGCTTATTGTTTACCAACTTTTTGTTACCCGTCGCCAGTTGGCGTCATGGTCACCAGGTGGCAATCTTCAAGAACATGTGGACCAATTATCAATACAAATTCTTCAAGACAACGGGATCGCCTATCGTGTTTCCCAATCTCTTACCGTTAACCTATGCCTTGTGTGTGTTCTCCTGGCTGTTGAGCATTGCAATCAATCTGTCACAGTATTTTCTACAACCCGATTTTCGCCTGTGGTATACTTTTGCCTATTATCCGATTATAGCCATGTTGAATTGCTTTTGCAGTCTGTGGTACATCAATTGTAATGCATTCGGCACTGCGAGTCATGCTCTATCCGATGCATTGCAGGATACCATTAAAGGTGACAAGCCCGCTCAGAAACTGACGGAATACAGGCATCTCTGGGTGGACTTGAGTCACATGATGCAGCAACTGGGACGGGCCTACTCCAACATGTATGGTATGTATTGTTTGGTCATCTTCTTTACGAGCATCATTGCAACGTATGGCAGCATAAGTGAGATTCTCGATCATGGTGCTACGTACAAAGAAGTCGGACTCTTTGTCATCGTATTTTATTGCATGACTCTCCTGTACATCATCTGCAATGAGGCGCATTATGCATCGGAAAAGGTCGGTCTCGAATTTCAGACCAAACTGCTTAACATTAATCTCACGGCTGTTGATACGGCCACGCAGAAGGAAGTCGATATGTTGCTAGTGGCAATTAATAAGAATCCACCCATCATGAATCTCGATGGATATGCGAACATTAATCGTGAACTCATCACCACAAACATCTCATTTATGGCCACATATTTGGTGGTGCTGCTCCAGTTTAAGATCACCGAACAGCGTCGAGCAAACCTTAATGTTTAAAATTATCCACTTATCGATTATGTCATCTACTTGGAGAATTACCAATGTTTCCTTTTACATCTAAAGTCAGTTAAATACTTTAATTAATGAAAGTAAAAACAACCATTTTTACTGCCTCCAGATATGTGTAAGCAAGTATATAAAAATAAGATCTTATTCAATAAAATTTTTCGTACGATCGTTCCAAGGGAATTTCATAATACAACTGTCCAAAAAAATCAAAGTTACGCAACTTGTATTCATTGAGTTCAAACCATTAACAAAGTTTATTTAACGCTTATCACTTATGAGCCAGATATCTCATCTTGCAGTCCAATTTAAATAAAATGTAGATGGTATTATGAGTAACTAATATTATAAAATTGTATAAAAATATGTTTATTCATAGAAAAAAACATCAATTTAAAAAAAGAAAGTTCTGATCAACCTTTGCAATGACAACTCCATAATAAGATTCGAAATATACTAAAATATACAGATATGTTTATAAATACGTTTAATAAAGATATTAAAGAAGGCGATTGTAAATTAATTTCTAAATTCCTTGTTTACTTACAATTGTGTTGAGCTCCTCTATGTGTCAAAGACGTGCAACAAACCACAGTGGTAACAGCTACTTGGGCATCCATCTGGGCATTGAGCGTCTGGAGGCCGTTCTGCTGAATGCCGAACTTCAGGTCACCTACACTGCTGTGATACGCTACGATGTGGATCTGCCCGAATATGGGACAATATTTGGTGTTAATTTCAACGCTCTTTCCAATAAATTCCAAATAAATCCCGTAATGTATATTAAAGCGCTGGACATGCTCCTCAATTGTCTTGCGTCGCAAGGAGCCGATTTACATTCAGTGGCAGCAATTGGTGGTGCAGCACATCAATATGGCGCCATCTATTGGTCGCTAGCAGGGTTTCGCTCACTCTGCGGACTAAATCCATTGATGCGTTTGCACGAGCAGCTAACTGAGAAATCGTTTTCGTTTCGCAGTTTCTTCTATATGAATGATTCGCTCAATGTGCAGAGTTACGATATGGACGAACAACTGGGTGGTGCCGAGCAAATCTCAATGATAACGGGATCAAAAAGTTTTGTGCACACCACAGCTTCTGAAATACGTAAGGTATTCCAGGATTATCCATTCGAATATGGAAATACCATGCGCATTTCGTTGATGAGCAGTTTTCTTGCTTCACTATTCGTTGGTAATATTGCCTCAATTGAGTATTCCGATGCCTCACGCATGAATCTATTGAATATTGCGGAGAAACAATGGTCGCCAGAGTGTTTGAATGCCTGTGCGCCATGCTTAAGTTTGCGTCTAATGAAGGCCATAGCCACGAATCGACTGCAGGGTCGCATTGCGGATTACTTTGTCAACCGATGGAACTTTAGAAGTGATTGTATTATTGCCACAGCCACTGGCAGCACCGCCTCATTTTTGGCCAGCCTCAACTTGGACAGCTGCTTTCTGTTTATATCACTCTCCGACCGTGATGAGCTTGTCATGAGGTTTACTCAACGTCCGAACTTGACAGAGGGTTGCATCATCTGCCATCCCACGTTGCCCAACGAATATGTGGGTCTGATTCGCTTTCGCAATGGTGGAAAGGTTCGTGCCAGGATTTGTAAAGAGGTGGCGAATGGAGATTGGTTGGAATTTAATGAAATGTTAAATGCCACACCTATGGGCAATGACAACCATATAGCAGTGCATTTCGACGAGCAGGACTATATACTTAAGACCCATGGCACCCTACGTTGGACAAAATATAATGATGAACTATCCAAAGAGGTGCTGCAGGCCACACAGCAATTTCCTGATCCCAAACTGGAGGCTCGTGCTCTTATAGAGGGTCAGCTAATGTATTATCGTGCTATAGCAGCCAAATCGGGTTTCATTTTGGGACCAGATACCAAAGTCCTTGTTTCAGGCAACTACTGCAGCAGTCAAAGCATACTACAAATTGTTGCTGATATTTTCAATGCACCTGTGTACATAATTAAGGGTCCTGCGGCATATGTCATGGGTGCCGCTTACCGTGCCCGTTATGCTTTCTATGAGTATCGTGAGGATAACTGCAATTGCAGAAAATGCCGCAATTGTCGTGGCAGAGACACGCGACTTAGTTACTCAGAATTTATACAGCAAATACCAGATAATCTTAGCTTGGTAGCCGAACCGACTGCAGGCTGTGCTGCCATCTATGAACCTTTGATGGCACGCTTTATGAGAATGTGTAGTCTTCTTGAAACTGAGAAAACAGGAAAAAAATAAAGGCTAGTCCAATAAACCTAGTAATATTTCTATTTATTGTCAAGTGTCAAATCACGTCAATTAGTACAAATATAACAAAACTAAATTGAATACAAGAATCCTATGTAATTTCCTAATTATTGCAATAAGTCCAAAGTCAAGTAAGGCAAAGTTGTTCAACAATAACAAAAAATGATAAGGCTAAGACTAAAAGTCTGCATCCCAGCCAGAGAACTCATCCGGCGGCTCAATGGGATCGCAGGGGAATCGATCAAAATAGCGCACATCTGTGGGATGGGCGATGGGTCGCACAAATGGTGGTATCAGCAGCTGACTGGCGAGGCCATCCCAATCGAAGCCCAGAAACCATCTGTATGATTTCGAACGAATTGCATTTTTAAGTGGAAGTCTAACAATTATTATTGATTACACTCACTTGTGCTTCTTGATGTCCTGAATGCCCCCAGTTTGATAGCCCAATCGTTCTGAGGGCACGTCCCTACAGAGACGCTTGATCAAATGCACGGCCCAGCGTGAGATATGCTTTGGAAATGTGATAATATCGATGCCTCTCAAAATCAGATTGTATGTCTGCATCGGATCCTGTGCGCTAAACGGTGGACTAAGCATAGAAAAGAGAAGTACCCTTATAAACTCTGCATTCTTCACACTTTAAATCAAGACTTACGCGCCATTGAGCAGTTCGTGTATGAGTATGCCCAGTGCCCAATAATCCACGGCGCGATCGTGTCCTTTGTTGAGTATAATTTCCGGTGCCACATATTCCGGTGTGCCGCAAAATGTCCACGTTTTGGTGCTGCTACCAATGTGCTTGGCAAAGCCAAAGTCCACCAGCTTAACATATCCACGCTCATCTAGCATGAGATTCTCCGGCTTGAGATCTCTGTAGAGAATGCCTCGTGCGTGAAGATATTCAAAGGCCTGCAGTACACAGCCAATGATGAACTGAGCAGCATTGTCCTCAAAGGAACCGCGATCACGTAGCATTGTCCAGATCTCGCCGCCCATGCAAGCCTCTAGCAGCATATAGACATACTTCTCGTCCCGGAATGTGCGATACAGGCGACAGATGAATGGTGACTTGGAGCTGAGCATTATGCTGCGTTCGCTGTAGATGTGATCCTCTTGCTTGGTGTCAACAATATGCTGTTTCTTCAAGCACTTGAGCGCAAAGATGTCCTCGCGTCCTTGGTGATGCGCCTTGACCAGCTCGACGCGACCGAAGCCACCGATGCCCAAAGTGCTCACAACCTCCAGATCTGTGAGCTGTAAATCAGGATATTCCATTTGTGCCAGCGCCCCAAATGATTCGTCGGCTTGTGCCTGTGCCTGTTTCATGGCCAGCATGCGGCTCTCATCGCCATAATCCTTCTCTTTGAGTTCACACAAGTCGCCAATGAGACGCTTAAACGAATCCCGATCCAAACTGAGGCACTCAACGCCTGGTGACAGAGCAATTATATTCGCTGTACGCTTATCCTCATTAATGAGCGCCTGTTCGCCAAAGTAATCGCCACGCGTAAGCGTTCTCAGCTCCGTTTCCTCCATAGCGGATGGGCTTAACTTCTGAGTCACCCTCACATTGCCCTGCGAGATGAGAAAGAAACTATCGCCAGCGGTGCCCTGACGTATGATATATGTGCCGGCCGCATAAAACTCCAACTCAAGCACATCGGCAATCTTCGCCAGCAGTTGTTCGCTCAGATTACGCAACAGTGGCACAGATTTCAAAAAGTTTACACTATTTTCGATGCGCTGCAAGCCAGTTCGCATCATAATCTGCTGAAAGACGCGACGGTCGAGCACCCAAACACGCGCTTCACTCACCACCCGTATGGAGGCGGTCCTTGTGCAATTGTAGAGTATCGCCAGCTCACCGAATGCCTTGCCAGGTCCCATTTTATCGAGCACCTTGCCATTCTGCATCACGGCAAATTCACCAGCAGCGGACACATACAAATGGGCACCCACTTCGCCCTCGCGTATAACAAACTCGCCCGCCTCGATGCTCTTCGAGTACATGGAGTCCACCAGTTCGCGCACCTGCGATGCATCGATATTCTTGAGAAAATCATTGTCCATAATGGCATCCTTGATCTGTTGCTTGGCACTGGATAACAGTGGAGTAGACAAAGGAAGAAAGTTAGTGCAAAAATTAATTTGGTTAGAAATAATGTTCATATTAATATTAAGAATATTTATAGAAGCTCAAAACATAATCAGAGTTAATGCAGAAAAGTCTATAGGCTTTATCAATTCCTGCTCCTATTGAAATTAATATTATTTGCACAAACTTTTTAATCGGACTGTTTGCAAATCTCTCAATAAGTAATGAGTTGCCATTTGCCAGGCTTTGTTATCGGTTCGGCAATTGATAAAATTTTTAATGCCTCTAATAGCTAAATTTGTATATATGTTTCAATAAATCAATCATGCATTAATTAAAAAAATCTCATGACCCAATTTTGGATATTTAAAACCAATGAAATCAACTATGAATTTAAATTAGATTGGAAGAGATTTTTGCATAAGCAACAAAGAGAGAGTTTAAAGTATTTTATGTCATACTCTTTAGCAGTCAGGTTTTTTTGACTCATCTTGTAGTTTGTAAAAGTAGACGTCTCACCTGAAATCCTTCTCATATTTGGGTATGGACGCACTGTAGGATTGTCGATTGGACTTCAGCGAGCTCTCTGCCGAGACTCCCTGCTTTTTAATGGCCGGCAACAGGGGCTTGGGACGCGGCTCCATTGGCAACTCTGTTTTCATTTCATTCTCTGCTGTTGTCTCCGACTCCAGTGGTGACGACTCCCCATTACCATCCTGGCTGGCTACCATAGCCAGGCCACAGGCGCTGCACACCTGCCGCTCATGCTGTTGTCGACTGCTGCTCACCTCCTCGCACTGCTCGGGATGAGTGTAGACTCCCGTTTGTGGGTTGGATGCTGCTGTTGATGCCACATTGTTATTGGTGTTGGTCGTTTGCTGCAGCACGCTCTGTGACAATTGAAAGGCGTTGATTAATCAATTCGCAGCCAATTGAGCGCCCCAATCAGCGGCACACGCATCTGATGCAATAATACCCAATTTAATTGATGATGGCGACCCCAACTCTTCTACCCCGGGAAAGAAACCAACACTCTCAACACGTTGAAGTGCTTGCAACAATTATGGACACAAATAAATATCTGTGCAGTAGACAAAATTAAATACCCTAGCATAACAGAGTCTATTTGCTCATAATTTAAATATATTTTTAGCTAAAACTTCTCTTAAAATAGATAAATAACAAAAACTTGATTTTGTGTTATTGTTTTGATGAAAACTTTATGATTATTATACGATAATTTGTTGAATATTTCTATGAAAACAAAACAACATTTCATATATACCTTACAAGGTATTCAATGTCTCCAAAAATATCGCCTTACAGGGTATACAAAGCAGAGAAGGGTGCGTTGCAACGACCTTCAACTGGAAGTGGGCCAACCATTGTATTCCATGTCATCTTATCTCTGTGAATGCGTAAACACAATGCAAAAACTGACCCCAAAAGCGAAAGAGGCGTAAAGATAAAACTATGCAAACTGAATACAACTCATGCCACAATATGTGACCAATAACACTAGATAAGCCAAATGTCGCGACTTTTGTCGGGGATCACTGTTGCCATTTCCTGGGTCACAAAAAAAATAACACGTTTGTGTTACAAAATTATGTGCATAAACATTAGCTAGTCAAAAATATGTCGGCGAACAAAAACGGGGGAAAAAAGGTTGCGTAGGGTTTATCTTTTTAAGTGATTGTCATTTTTTTTGCGAGACTAGAAGGATTACAGCTACTGAATTCACAGTATAACAGCTCATTGAGAGAAGTTTTAACAAATGTGTACTTATTTATATTTTATACATTTAATTAACACACAAAGAATCTAAACACGTTTTATATATAAATCTCTATCCAAGCTGTTTTAATCGTTAACGAACATTTTTGAAGAGTAACTCCAAGTCGACCATACCCAATGCACTCCAATTAGCTTTTTTTATTGCTTTCTATTTTTGTTAATTTTTTTTTTTGTGCCGCTTGCTTGTGGAGCGCGCGTGCTGGCGTCCGTTGGCATTATGGAATTATGGAATATTGGTGGGTATTTGGTATTTATTTTCACCAAGCACACAAAAAGAGGGAGGAGGAAAGAGAGGACAGACAGACAGTCAGACACCGAACGTCCAGCTGAAGTCGCAGCGGCAGACGCAGTAAAAGCTGATCCACCAATTAGCAACGCACAGCTGCGAATCCGAGCGTATCTCTGACCGGCTATCTGTATCTGTATCTGTATCTGTTCTCTCTGCTAAGCTGGCAACTTCTGCTCTTTTCACAACGGCGCTATGAACATCTCACGAAGAAGTGCTAATCACTTGGCTCAATAAAAACGCTTTACAATTTAAATACTTATGTACATACAGACACACACACACACACACACACACACACACATACACACACACACACACACACACACACACACACACAAAGCCGCACACACGCCGGCACGATGAGCAATGCCAAATGCTGCTCAAGTACGAAATTAACAAGAAAGCAAAACTATTTTGGCAGTATGAAATATAAAATACCCTTGCAAAGTAAATGTAATATTTAATTGTATTTTAATTTGCATTACATTTTCATAGATGACATATTTGACAGTTTTAGAAAGATAGCAACACAGAGATGAATTCACATAGAAGCACATATTTCGAAGATAATCAAATTATAATACACCAAAGGAAACCCGGACACGTGAGCAGCGCAGACACTAACCGAATGTTAACGGCAAAAATCGCTCCAAATATCAACGGATTATCGCATTGGCATAGCACAAGGGTATCTGTAGATAGTATCTAATGCTATTCGTTGCCTATTCTATAATATCTGGTATCTAGAGCTTAACGGCGGCTGCTGCTGCTGCTTTGCCCGAGATAACAACGTGCGACGCAATTGATACGATTGTGAGCGTATTTCCAGATACTTTTCTGTATCTCTACAAATTAGTGGAAACACACAATAACACATAGCAAACACATTGTTACTGCTGCTATTATAGTTGTTGTATCTACTGCTGTGCCGTTATCTGAGGCGCGACAACAGCAAACAAACAAAGCACACAACAAACAAAACAAACATAACAATGCACAATGTCAAGGGATATCTGCCCCCTGCTTCCAACTGGCACTTTCCTTTTATTCGTAGTAGTTTCGAGTAAGTTTTTGCCTTCTCTTTTTTTTATATTTTTCAATACTATTGCATATTCAAAGTTATTTCATATCTCTCTCTTTTATGCATGTAGAAATTGTCTTTTTAATAATTCGTTGTCGTCTCCTTCTGCTTTCATATTTCCTAATTTTCAATTTGTATGACGTTGATTACCATGCATGAAGTATTTATCGCCTCTTTAATAGTTTCCAATTAGTTTCTTTCTTTCTACACCTTGTATATTTCTAAAGGTTAATAGTTGTTGTTGTTTTTGTTTCTCTTAATATTTCAAAGATATTGCCTATGTTTCAACAAATTTTAGTTCTAGCTTTATAATTCCTCATCGCACTCTTTCTCACCTTCAGCTTGTGTATTTCGCGATGAAGTTTAATTATCTCACTGTCACGTTCCCGTAGCAACTCCTTCAATGTGATCACCTCGTTATTCAAACTTGTGAGAATCGCTGCGCGTTCCCTTGCCTCCCTTTCCTGTTCCATGTCAGGGTGACCTTCAATATCGTATTCCAATTAACTGGAGGATAACCCATTCAAGCAGCCATAAACGAGTTCGTTTTTTTCTTTTAGGTATCCGCTTCGTATTGCTTTTCAACGGCGCGCTTCGACAACGACTGATTTCATTAGCCGATCGACGAGGCGTATGTGTGATATGCAAAAGAGAACTCAACACACAAAGATAGATAGAGAGAGAGAGTGTGTGTGTGTGTGTCTGTGTGTGTATGTGTGCTGTCAAAGAGCGCGCCAAAAGAGAATATGCAAAACACGCGACAGCCAACAGAGATCAGAGCCGACGCTATCAGCTAGAGATAGTTAGAGGCCGATAACCAAAGGGGTTGGGCAAGTCCAATTCAATTTGGCCACTAATAAAATGACAAAAATAAATGGAAAGAATCAAAGTGCTCGTCTAGCAAATACTCTGTGTGCTGAACTGGTTCTCAGAAATAAAATATTGATATATTTACGAATATAAAATAAATATAAAACGAACTTAATGTGAAATAAATATTTTAATGAAATATGTATTCTCCCACATAACATAAACATACTTAAAATACAACAAATTCGATTGTCAATCGATATTAATGGATTAAAGAAAATCGGTATAGTGACGAAAAACTTTCACACAGAATGAATTTACTATTTTGAGGTAATATAAACTTTGAAATAGATTGAATATATTTGCACAACATAATCATACTACCCTTTTATATAGCAGTGGTTATTTAAGACAGGGTATAACGGCAATCGGCAAAACAACAACAAGCGAGTTATAAGCAAATGCAGAAGCCACGCAGTAGCCGCTTTTGTGCTTTTGCATTAAAACAAAACTCCAAGACAAAAGCCGAGCGTAATTTGATGATGACAGCTTCGCTGGGAAAATGCTTGGGATACAAATGGCGATGGGGATAGGGATAGGGTAGGAATATGGCAAAAACAACAGCACAAAGCGTAAAAATACGAAATGAAAATGAAAATGGCAGTACAGATGTGAAAATGAAAGCTAAACGAAGCGCGGGCGAAACGAAACAGTCAGAAATAAAATTGCTTTACAGCCATAATAGAATTATAGTGCCCACTATGAAGCGGCGACACAGACAACGTCGACGACCGCAACATGGTCGCTGTATGGAAGGGAGGTGTGTAGAGGTGTGGGGCAACAGTTTTGCTAAAAGCAAATGAAATAAAATGCCAGCAAGGCAAACGGCAACGGCAAGGACACTGATTTGCTGGCGGGCAATGGCAGCAACCGGAGCAACGCTTCATCCGCTTGGCGCTTGGCCCACATTTAATGTGGCCATATCTGCGGGTAACACAGCCAAACATGGTGAACGGAAGGGGGGAGGTACGCTGGCCTGGGCTGAGATGTAGCAGAAGCAGAGAGTGATGTATGTGGCCGTGAGTGCGTGCCAGGAAGAAAAATACCACTGCGATTTGTGAGTACGTGACGACATCGAAAAATCTGTAGACAGGCAAAGGATTAGCCTAAGATAACACTGCGTATGTGTAATGATGCAGCAAATGATCTATTAGGGCTATACAGGCGCGGCGAGAGACAGACACAATCACTCAAAGAAAATATCTATGTAGTATTAAGTATACATGTCAAGAAAGGAGTATGTGGTTCGAGATAGCGATAGAAGAATCAGAAGAGTTAATCGGTATGCAGCAGCGTAGAGAAATGTGTCGAGAAAGCAAATCAAAGTAAAGACTTAAGTTTGATTAACAACAAATGAATTATAGTTTTTGTTTTTTTGTACTCTTATACTTTATCAAATAAATAAATTAAACAAAGCTTGAAGTTATTTGATATTATCTATAAAAGGTTAAGATAAATACTTCTAGTTTTTAGAAAATATTATTCTAATTTATACAAAAAATATACTGTCCAAAAATATTTTATATATATTACATGTCACTGCTTTTTTCGCGAGTGTAGAAAGTGCGAGCGTTAAAATATGGTATTTCGTAATTTAATAGAGCTCCGACTTGAAAGACTCCTTAAGCCAAAAAAAAAAAAACTTTGACACTTGGCCACCCAAAAGCTGCGATAATTATCTACAGCAAAAGTGTAACGAATGATTCTCCTCACTCCAATCGTGGGGGAGGTGTGGTGTTTTTGTGCGACGGGAACTAATTGCCCCAGGGACATGTCGCATTACTTTAAACGTCAATCTTCAGAGCGACTAATTAATGAACGCTAATTTGAACTATGCTCCGAGCAGAGAGGTGGGCAGCAGTTAGCTGAGCTTTGAGCCGTTATCATAAAAAGTCTGTGCCACATTAAGTGCAGGATGCTGTAATGCAAGACTAAGCTGGGCAGGACCAGGACACCAACACCACCAAATAAGTGTACATAGAGATAACTGTGTGACTTTTTGGCAATGAGTAGTTCAGGTTTGCAGGGCAAGTCGAGGTTACTCATTTGTTTTGCATACACATTGACCTCATGAATTCTCATAAGATAGGCTAAACTATTTATACAAATTAAAGCAAATTGCCATTTTAATATACTTTTTGTGTCATTTTGGTAAGAGCAATTTTCGCTTAGTGCTCATTCAACACGTATGTTGATAAAGTAAATATTCTCATTATTGTCAGGTGGTAAATTATTGATAGTCAAGTTATTCGTTTTTCATATACATTTCGTGTTTTGCATACGCTGATTATTACTTTTATTGAATGAAGGGGAATTGCCATATGTTTGCTGGAATGGGTCAAAGCTTTCCACAGCCATAAAGTAAATGTATAGTCAAAAAATAACTTTATCACAATTGATTTAAAAACTAGGGTTTCTTATTCATAATAGTAGGTTATATATTCAAATATTCAGCGCTTTTTACCATGATTTGACCTATAGATTAATGCTGCATTTCAATTTGGAAACAGAATTCCTTATCTAATTTTTACCTTAAAAATCGTAGGAACGGTTAAAGATTTTTCATTTCATTTTTGGTAACAAATTCTCCTGAAATTCTACCAGCTTAATTAATCATCATGTATCATGTAGTTGTGCACAATTCGCCAGACTAGTCTAATTGTCGATTTATCTTCGTTAGCTGTCCTAGCTGACTACTCACTCACTAAATGTACGCTATGACACGCTCAACTCAGATAAATTCAGATAAACTTCGTTATATAGGTAGATCCCACATATAAAAACCACACTACGACTACAAAAAAAGAGCTAAGAGCAAAGCGGATAGCCTCAATTACAAAGTCAAATCCTGGTCAAGGCAATCAGTCCTAACGGGCTAACAGGATTTGCTGCCCATATTTACATAATAAATATTGCATGTCAGTGACAAGTCGTGTAGCAAACTGAGGTGGAAAAGCTCAGATTTCTCCTTGCACTCCCATCTACATATATCTGTTGACATAGCTATAGCCATATCCATTTGCGCTTTGCATTCCTGACACTGGCATATGCCACAAATGTCAACTAGTCGTTGGAGGGGTCTGGACGAATCAGGGTGGAAGATAAGTGTGATAAGTGCCACACACACACACATGCACATATCAAAAGACAATAGAGGAAAAATGCCAAAGGGAATGCGAATACGTGCATAAAAGGTGGCAAATCAACTGACAATCTATGGTTATGAGCGTATAACTTACGTTATCCCATCATATGACACGCCCCCAACCCACTCACCCACATTTCCGCCCCTCCACCCTTCAATACGTTATGCATATCGTATGTAAATGAGAGCTTAAGCAGGCTTTGACAAATTCCAAGAGGCAGCTAACTTGTATTCTCAACACAGTTGTAGATGCAAATAGAATCAGTACGAAAATATACAAAATACAATTCATATACATATATTTTGTAAGCAAGTAATAAGTAGACAGAGATAACAAAACGCAAGCCAATAAGACATAAAGGCTTGAGGATTTCACAAGACTCAGAATCGCAAAATCCCCGCAGAATCCCATTTACAAAGGTGAGCAAAAAAGTTTTCGCAACTGCACTTAGAAAATAAATGTTAAATAACAGCAATGAATTCACGAATGAATTGAAGGAAATATTTAATATGCCAATAATAGAAAGTACATATTTAAGAAAAGTCTTAATATTCATTTCTGATTGTTATTCAAAAGCAATTATTTTAAGATAACTTCAATATATAGATCTAGATCAATATATAGATCAGTATATATTTTTCTCAGTGCTCTGCTTGAGCCTTAAGTCCAGAGGGCGTTAACCTGTAAAAGGATAAAACTGGACTATCAGACAAATATAAATCCGTCTTACCCGCATGACATTCGTGTAGTTATTCAATTAAAATCCCCAACGCACTTGAATCCACTGCCGCAAAAGTTCTCACGCATTGTTCGTGGCTGAGTTGAGGCCGGCAAAAGTGCACGCCTGGGATTAATTCCAGGCTGACAGACAGACAGACTGGGCCAAGCCAAGCCAAATAGCCTGGCCTACAATTCAGTCTCAATCCATGGCATTATTTGGCCACCGCCCTCCGGCTCAATTTCACCTGCCATGAAGCTCATTCATTTTCGGGCTTTTGTTGTTTTATGCTCGAAGCTCGTATCTCTTTTATTGCCTCCTGTCGCTGCCTTTGTTGTCATACACTTCTCCCAAATAGCGCCAACAAACTTTCCAAATGAGACAACGTAGGTAGTATTGGCTATAAGTGTATTCGCCCAAAGTGGCTCATATGTTTCGTATTCGAAATGTGCATGGAACTTTACGAGTTACTATCGACACAAATCAGAGAGAAGAATTATAGCAATGAACAACTTGATTTATCTACAAGTAGATACAATTACCGTAGTGTTCAAGAGAACTTTATGTTAGTCTTTAAATACCCTGGAATAATTATGTTCATTTTGGTTAAGACACTTCATCAGCATGACAAGTTGGAGAGCAGTATTAATTAATTACTTATTTAATATATATTATAACAAGTTCATAATACTTTACAACTATAAAATCAATACAGACAAAAATCGAATATTTCTATATTTCTATAATAATTTGCCCTCAATTTGATTATCGTATTATTATTATGATTATTATTATTTTTATAGTCCGATATTTCTATACTCATACATGCATAAATTATATCTATAAAATGAATATAACTTAAAGGGTATTTCATCTTCGGCAAACTAAAAAAATTGATTTTTTTTATTTTTTTCGTATTATTTTTCTTTTTTTTTGGTTTCACTTGTTCTGTTTTTTGTGCTTTGTGTGGTGCAAGATAAATAGTAACATGTTTGCCTTGGCATGCCTGGCTCTGGCATTTTTTCACCTGATCCAGCCCAATCTCAATGGCCATAAACCCAACTGGTATCAACAGCACATGCATCATGTGCTTGCCTGGCCAGTTGAATAATTCAATGGACAGCACTTGAATGTGCTAGCTAATTTTCGTGATTTCAGCTTTCCTCATAATGCTAACTAACACATTCCCATTCCTCTCCTCACAACAACAGCCAAGGGCATCAGTTGGACTAAAGCAAAAGAAAAAGAAGACGTTGATTATGCAGTGCTCAGATGATTCAGCCATGGACAGGACGATGTGGTAAGTTGAAAAGTCTTCGAACACTTTTCTGTTGATTGCACATTGCACATTGAATGAAAAACGAAAATATTAATTATTAGTAGCATTGGAATTAATTTCACACCAATTGAGTTTCAATTTCTAATACAAATTCATCAACAATTTACAAAGCAAACATTATGTTCCACAAAATACTCAACATAGGGCATTCTACTGTAAATATGTGTAGTAGAAGTTGAAGTGTTTCTTGACCCAAGCTGATTTACTGACTATTTATTTCAAAATTGAAGTACTCAGACTTTGGTCTTGCAACAAATCGCTCTTGAAATAAGAATTTATCTGAGTCTACGTTTATACTTGAGCATAAAACTCTTCATCATTTTTTGAATGTACTTTTCCAAAGTTCCTAAATTGCACTTGGATTTTTTGCCAACAAAAAGGTTGCAAATAAATTTGAATTGGATTTTTGCTTTTTGTAATGGCCGTGAAGAACAAAATGACTGGCTGACTGGCTGGCAGGCTAGCTGGCTGACTGACTGAGTGACTGACTGATGTCAGTGTGGTTGATGCTGAGGGCTGTGCGTGTTTTTGAAGTTTAGCAAATTGCCAAGGCCCACACGTACACACACATGCATATGCATATAGTATGTGGGCCAGTGGACAATGATAGATTAGCCATATGTATGTGCGTCTGTGTGTGAGTGTGAACTATCCTCAACTTACTCTGTCCCTCTGTCTGTCGCTCTCTGACTCTCTCCCTGTGGAGAGAAGGCATTCACTGTCTCTGCGGCAAACTTCAATTGGCAGAAATTTCTTGCAACAAAATTAAACTGTAATTGAAAAAGACAATTAAAAAGTTTCGCATTTTGCCGCTCAATAAGCACAGTCAGCCAAAGGGAGACAGAGATAGTTACAAAGAGAGTGAGAGAGACAAGGAGAAAGACAAACTTAGGACATTGCCAGCACTGCTTTGTGGAGTTGCTTTTTGGGCATTTTCTTACTCTTGCAATTTGGGAGCAATGATTTTAGTTGCCCGGAAACTTGACAAGTTGTTTTTTAATCGGAAGTTATCATAAGCGTTAACTTTAACCAGTTTCGAGCCACTTTTTTAACATTTATGAATTAATTTGATTTACAAACAGTCTACAAAGAAAATTTTGATAACATTGCTCACAGGAAAATGAGAAAATAAAATATTTAATTGATTAATAAAAACTGACTTTCAGCTCGACGGACTATGAGATTTTTTATAAGATCGCATTACTGTCGCGCGAACAAATGCAGAATACTGTGCCGACATGCATAACAAAATTGGAGGAGTTACAGAATATCTGTCGAATATGCGGCTGTCAAAGCAATGGCACCTTCATTGACTTGGACACGAATCAGGATTTTGAATTTGAGCCCTCGATAAGCAGCTATCGTATGCTCTTTCAGCGCACCTCGCTGCAGTTTGTAAGTGTTGAAATTATCTTAAGATGAATGTGTTTTACAATATACAAAATTGTAATATTCATTAGCAATTTAATACCATGCCCGATATGCCGTCATGCATTTGTGGAACGTGCTGCAATAAAGTGAAGATATTTTATCTAATGACCCGTCAGTTTGTGATCAGTCAGCAAGCGATGCGAACGACCATTACGGAATGGTATCGGAAAAAGTATGACATTGAGCCGCCCGAGCAACTCGAGGATCGTAATCAACTGATAAAACAGTTGGCACTCGCTGAAGCTAACCGCGCTAAACGGCAGCCAATGAACAAACTAATCAAACCTGTCAAGGACTTCATCAAAGATACCGTGTTCAAACAGCGACCCAAAATAAAACGTTCGATTTCCGTCGACAAAGGTTTGAACGCGAATGCCCAGAATCCAAATGTTCAGACCAAAGTTTTAGCCATGAATCAACGTGTCATTGACAATGGCTGTCAGACGTCGCGTTCAGCGGCCAACCTCAAATATGACGCGACTAAATGCGCAAGTACAGTGAAGAAGCCAACAAGTGCACAAAAACCAGTCATGCAACGTACTTCAACACAACGTACAATCTGCCCCATGGTGCGCAAAAAGAGTGCAACTAAGGAATGCGTTGTAACGCCCAGGCTTAAACAAAACTCCAAAGTGTTTGACAATCCTCACGAAAAAGACACAAAATTTCGAGATCAGAAAATTGGGGATAAGGGTGCCCAAAAGCGCACTGTGCCGCCATCCAAGGCACAGCAGCAGAAAACGCCGAAAGAACCCATCATAAAATGGCGATAAGCGAATCTGCAAATCACCCAAGGAAAAGCTAGTTTTAGTTTTCCAATAAGGCAATTATTTCTTAAATGCAGTATTTTGTTTCAAAGCAGTCCAAATTTTTGTTTGCCATTTTTAATGCATTAAAATAAATACAAAATAAAAATAGAAAATAAAAATAAAATGGAAATTTCACCAAAACCAAGTAATGCTAATTGTTGGAATGTATTCATAAATTATATTAATATAAAGCGATCAAGTTGACTCTAGCCAATATTTTCAATTTAATAATCATTAGGCAAACAACATTTTAAATAAAAATACGATGTATGTAAGGACACTATAAAAATAATGTAACTTTGCAATAGTATCACCTATATTTGATATTTTTCTGACTAATCCCTAACTGAGTCACCTGTTGCAGCAAATAAATCAACCTCCCAAATTAGATTAACCCAGCATCTTGCTAAGTCGAAAAGTCTCTGACATTGGCATGTTGTTGAATAAAATAAATATTTTTAATGGAGAAAATATTTTGTTTCGTAAACTTTTCACACATGCCTTTGACTTACCACATTTCATTGATTTGAGTGTACAAAAACTTAATACTTATGTGCAACACATACGAAACTGAATTCGTTGCACAAAATAACAAGAAGTTTCTTTGACAGATGAAAGTAAAAACTAAGATGGATTCATTGCCACACTGGCCGTTGGCCTCCCCCTAATCCCAGCCACTATCTTCTCGATTCTCCACTCCACCCATCGTCAAGAATGTTTTTGCAAAAATCCGTATTTAAAAATGCAACAAGCGAACACAACTCAATGGAAGCGTGTTTTTCTCTGCTTTTTTGTTTCTTGTTGTTTTTTGGCTTCAGCTTTGAAATTGAGGGCATAAAATCGATGGGAACAAACCAAAATGTACAGAGGAAAAAGGGCATTTCAAAAAATTCACAGCACGCTGTGGGTCAAAAGAGTGTTGGCATATTGAGGGAAAAGGACGTCTAATGGGGGGGAGGGGTTCTGGGAATATGTGGGAAGGTCATGACGGTTGTACATATAACGCCAGCCAAAAATGCCAAACAAATTGATTGGAATCGAAAACGAAACGTAAACGAAAACGATTCATATGATTGACTGGCTGACTGATGGACGACGTGCAATATGATGGTAGGAGAAACGATTTGGAGGGTGGAGAGATGAGAAGGATAGAGCAGATGGCAACTGATATTTGGGCATTGATTGCATGCTCTTAAGCGCAGCACCTGCCAAACATTCACATTCACAATACAACATGACCAGGAACGAACGTAAAGTCGAACAAATTTTTGTACTACATTTAAATTTTTTTTCCATTCACTAAATTGAAAATAAATTTAATGCTCTAGTTGAGAGAGAGAAAGAGAGAGAAGGAGGGAGAGAGAGAGAGACAAATATAGATAGAGAGGGAGAGAGAGAATAAGATAAGCTAATAGATATCCGGGAAGTAAATCTCAGATGCCCAATTTACATAGTGAAAGAACAACCAAAAAAGATTGGATAGCCTAAAAATGCACTTGAGCTAAATTCGATATTCGAGACTTTACATAGCAAAGATTCTGACACAAGCACCAGCAAATTCATATAGTTCAATTTTAGACGATTTTTTAACAGCTTTATGTAAAGCAAACTTTAATTTGTGCGACGGGTATAAAAACATATACATGAAAAAACATTCGTCAAAATGAATGCAATTACGCAACGAGTTGAATACTAAATGTTTGTTGGTATTATTGTTGTTGTTGTTGTTGCTGCTGCTGTTGCTGCTGCTTTTGATGGCTGTGTTGCTGGCATTGCGAACAGGCAAAAATTGTTGAATTATTTGCTTACCATTGCCTAGAGTTAAAGGCTGCCCGAAAGCGGTCACTGCGTCGTTGCCCATTCAAAATTGAGAATTGAATTGCATCGAAACGAATTAAATTGAATAGCATTCAAAATGTGAATCTCATCATTGCACAATGTAGACGCACACACAGACACAATGCGCTCAGCACTTCGAATGAAACGAGCTCGATGTGTTTATTCACTGCATTTCCTGTTGATATTCAACAAATGCCAACACCATATTCACCAAGCAATAGTCAAACGGTGTGCCCCCGCTGCCCCTGCAGCCGTCTACTGTTTGCTGTCCTAACTGCGTCCCGTTGGCGCTTCCTATAAAGGAAACAGGAAGCGCATTTGCAGCAGCCGCCGGCAACAGTTCCCAGAACTTCGCCATTGATTTCTGTCACTTATTGTTTGCAGCAGCTCTCGCAGATGTCCTCGTTTACAGTTAACATTGATATTGTGTGAAGTACACCCACCCTCACCCACCTCCTCTCCTTGCCAGTATAACAACAAAAAAGTACTTTAAGCTTTAATCGTTTCTGGTTGGCGGTCTCAAGTTTTTAACCATTTTGATTCCGCTCCACCGCGCTAAGCTCCCCAAACTCCAACCCATTACACATTCATCTACCTTGGCGCACAATAGAATGGTCTCTGTTAACCCACCTATGTGTAACCCACACTACCCACGCACATTTTTTGGGACTGTAAGCTTGTATTTATAAAATATACTTATGTTTCTGGAGTATTTTATTTTCAAGTAGAGAAGTAAAACAGTTACTGAGATTTTTCCGAGAATTTACAGTACCTTAAAACATAACCAACAACTTATTTTTGGTACAAAATGAAAGTGTATATAACTTTTTTCAAACATTATTAAAGTTAGCTGTTTTAAAGACAAATTAATATAATTATATTTTCTGTCATAATACTTTTTTCAACACCACTTTTACAGGTTTCTATGATATTTTGAAGTATTAAATATAACTTAAGCTAATAATGATTCTATATTAACGAATTTCAATCATTTTATACTCACATTTAATATTCACATACGTCAGATAAATGAGTATGTAAAAGATAATATGAATTATGCAAAAACACATATGTGTATCTGAAATTAAAGAAAACTCAAATGAAATGATCAGTTCAGAATTGTGGCAATTATTTGATTATTAGTTTATTGTTGAAATTTGTTGAAATGGATGGAAAATTGACTTTCCCCAAGCGATAGAGTATCTTAAATTCGTACATAATTTCGTGTTGTATTCGATACTACGATTTGGCAGCGATTTTTATATTCATTCTATTACTTATATTTCCTTTTCAGTTTTCAGTTTTCAATTTTTAAGCTGCAGCAAGCGCCTTGTGGCTATCGTGCTGCTTTGTTCGACCAAAACCACCCCAGCCACCCAAAACGGCATGCAAACATTTTTTGTATTGTTGCGCTGCAGCTGAAGGACCTGTCCTGCTGTCGCGCTGTCCATCGCTGCCACGCCTACTGCACATTGAGTTCTTCAGGGGCAGATTCAAAAAGAGAAAAAGAGAAGAGTGGAAGCAAATACAAATAACAACAAAAAAAAATAAACTAAAAATGTTTTATGCATGAGCGAACCACAACAAAGCGCGTAAATGTCATTTCCTTTTCACTAAAAGGATACTTTTAAATTGAAATTGTGGTATTTTTCGAACACACACACCCGCACACACACACACACACTTATGCCACGCACTGCCTGCAACGCCTGCCATTGCCTTTGTGGCCTGGAGTGCAGTTTTACTACTGTTTTGCTTCTGAAAGCATTACACCGCTCACCGCACACCTACAACACGCCCACACCCCTCACTTCTGGTGAAACTGCGGGGTAGAATGTCTCAATAAAGGCAATTGGCAATAGCGTTGTTGGCCATGGCTGGTTGCACAAAAGCAAACTGCATACTTTGCGGCTAATTACGCTCAACAAAAAGCGATCAGGGCAAAGGGTGAAAATCAGTGCTGCTGTGAGGAAATGCACAGTGAAAAAATGGAAATCAATGCTGTTGTCTCGCTGACTTTTTCATTTCTTGTATTTTGAAGCTTGATTTTAATAATGTTGAAAATATATTAATTAATATTATTCAGAAGATAAAGTAACTTTGTTTTTAAAAATCATTTATCACTCAGTATTTTAAAAATCTTAAGTTCCGCACAATGTGGTAAACATTTCAAGGATATTTTTCTCAGTGCCTGCACTGCTCGATAGGCAAGGATGCTCGTTGCTCAATGCGTGCGCCTTGGAATACAATAGCCAAGGAGTGAAAGAAGCCGAAGAACTTAGATGTTGTCTGACAGCTAGGGGAATGGGAAATGGGCACTGGCCATCAAGAAGCGAACAGAGAGCAGGGAGCAGGCAGCATTGAGCACTTCAACTCTGGCAATGTATAAATTATTCAAAACTTTGTCGGAACAGTTGCAGTCGCGAATTGAAGGCGTCGACTATTTGTGACTGTTGAAATATTCATGCGTATGTCGAGTGTGGCAGAAACAAGAACAATTATGCAAAGAATTGCAACAAGAATGCACAAAAAAAAACACAAAAGGCACAATGGAAAAAGGCATCAGAGTGCGCAAATAAAAGCAAATTGAATCAAATGGAAAGAAGCCTTGCATTGTTTGCACTTATCGCTATTAGCATTGTGAATGAACGCCGAGAGTGGGTAAGACAGATGGTGAGGAGAGTGTAGATTAGACCACGCAAATTGGCGAAGACCACGCCATGCGTACAAACAAATCAACAGCAAAGCGCCGAAAATGCAAAACTCCCGAACCCACAACCTGAAACACGAATCTAAAATCCAAGACCGTCTCCAGGACCACAGCGAGACCCGAATCCGGGCCCGAAACCGCATCCACATCCGCTTGCCCACCATTTGCCACAGGCTGTGCGCTGAAAAAGTTTTACGCAACTGAACCACTCAAATGAGCGCTCAAAGTTTGTTTTATGTGCCGCTGACGACAGGGGCAATGGCAATGGCAATGGCAATGGCAACAGCAAAGTTCAATTACGGTCAGCAAATTGTTTCGCAATTTGAAAGCACATTTTCATAGTTTTTACGCTGACAGCTTCAGAAAGTAGACAGCAGCTTTGCCCACTCATTGTATTTATGGAGCAATAATACGGTGCTACGCAGGCACGGTGGCACGATGGTGCTGATGTGCCTTAAAGTCACTTTAGATATTCAGTGTCTCATTTTAATATTGTGACTAAAATATTTATGTTGCGTACAGAGTTGCAATCAAAAAAAATATAAAAAGTTATTCATGATTTTTAATTTGGATAAACAAATTTATGTTTGGA